ACAGCATCAGTGAGGAGCGCTGCCCCATCTCCCGCCCATCACGCGTTCTGGAGGTGCTGTGGGCTTGCTCGGTGCCCTGCTTCTGGCTGGTGTTATCCCCTCTCATTTCTGCTGGGCTGCTCCCTGCTAATCCCTGTGTAATCCTGGCCAGTGTGTGAGCCCGGGGAGGGCTCGAGCATGCGGGCTGGGTGCGTCTGCGTGTGCTGCTGGAGCCAGAGCATCGCGTGAGCTGCTCCTTCTCCCCTTTGTTTTTCTCCATCAGGATCCCCTGCCTGCATCTGCCCATGGTTGTGTTCAGCTTTGGAGATGTTTTAGCTCCCTGAGGCATTAGTGTCTTCTGGGAGGCTGGTGAATGTGGGACCCTCTCCTTCTCCCCTCGAGCACCATCTCTACCACTTGCTGCCATCACAGGCAACTCCATGAGACACCACCACCAGCCCCAGGGAACGTGGGACCCCAGCCCTGCGGTGTTACCCAAGGAGGATGAGGTCTCCCACCCGTCCTGGGGTGCAGAGCAGCCCTGCAGGTCCCCAGTCTCCTGCTGCAGAGCCACTGCCAAGGGTCTGGCACAACATACCAGCTGAGCAGCATCCCCTTCCTGCTGGGATGGAGACAACTTGGCTCTTTGGCCAGGCAGCGTTTCCCACCCCGTGGAGCGGTGATGCTGACAGACAACACACACGTGTGCGCATGCCTGCACTGGTAACGTGGCTATTGCTGCACCCTGCACTGAGGGTGAGCAGGAGCAGCAACGTGGGCGCTGCTTGGGAGCGGCTGAGCACCTTCCTCCATGAGCCCTGCGCTCCGTCCACTCCCCACGGCGAGGTCCAGCGGAGCCCCTCCACACATGCTGCAGCATTACCCACACGTGTCAGCCCCGAGAAGGCAACGGCACGGCTCCGGCACCTGGAGAGGTGACCAGGGGCTTCGCCATGCCGCCACTGCAGCACTTGAGAGAGCCTGGTTCCCATCCACCCGGCCAAACCACAACCATACATCCCTGCTTCCCCTGACCAGCTTGGCTGCGCTCCTCACCTGGCAGGAGAACACACGGCAGCGAAAATAAACACGGAGGGAAGCGAAGCCCCTCATGGCCCGGCGAGCGAGGTCTGCGTTCCAAGAAGTAATGAAGCCCAGGGAATGGAAAATGCATGTCACTTGGCGGCGGGCTGGATGCGCGCAGGCGTCCGCGCCGGCTGCCGAGAGGGTGCTTGGCTTCCACACGGCATGGCCACGGCACAGCAGCTGCGCCAGGCCCCGCCAGCGGCACCGCGCTGAACTCTGACATTTGGAGACGCAGAATAATTTGGCTTCATTATTCCCCCTCTTCCCCCCGAGCGGTCCCTCGAGCCGGGCTGGAATGTGCGTGGTAGGGACAGAACCAATCCCATTAGCACGAGGAGATTGTTTTTCGTTTGGGTTTGTTGCTGTTGAATCACCCGTGGCTCCGAGTCTTTGGGGTAGGTCAGAGGCAGGAGGATGGGGAGAGGGCACCCATGGGTGGTGTTTCGCCCAGGTGGCTGCTGTCCACGGCTCGGGGCTCCCCTGCCAGCCTGGATGCCTGGTTTTGGCAGCACCACGAGGTTTCCATCTCTGAAGGCCACGAGAGCCTTGCTGCCAGCTCCGGGGTGGTGCCGGGGAAGGTTTGAAGGAGCATGGATAAGGGCAAGGGCTCAGCTCCCATGCGCAGGGTCAGGAAGATGCTGCAAGGCAGCGGTGCTGCCAGAGCTCGCTTTGAACCCCTGCATCCTCACCCGCATCCTCACCCGCACTCCATCCCTGCATGGAGACTGCCGAGCACTGGAGTTAAAGCTGAGTTTACAGCTCTGTGTCGGTCAGGACAGCGCCGGATTGCAGCCATGTGCAAGCAGGAGCTGGGCCAGGGGCAGTGAGAGGCAGCTGGAGCAGCTCGAAAACATCCTTCCCCAGCTGAGAGAGGAGCCCTGGCTCTTTCTCCATCATCTTCAAAAGCTCTGCTCTGGCAGGGCCCAGAGCTGCTGTTTTACCCAGATTGGGCTTTCTCATGAAAGACCCTCATTCCTCCAACATGAAGCAAGAATAAGAAACCTCCCAATGGCTGCTTTGTGTCCAGCAGCATCTCCCTGGGATGTGAGTGGGAAGGGGAGCAATGGGTGCAGACCCAAATGAACCAACACCGTGTCCACTCTGAACTGGGAGAATCAGTCGCAAACCATGAAGATGGGTGTTGGCAGACGTGTATGTGCAAGGCAGGGGCTTCTCTGAGCCCTTCCCCACCTTGCTGCCCCAGTCCTGGGCTTTCTGTCTTGTGCAGCATCCATGGACCATGCTTTTCCCAAGCAGAGACATCCCACTGGGACACAGCACAGGGCTCTGGACACCCAGCAGTGGGACAAGGAGCTGTGAGTGCTCCTCAAGTCCTCCTCAGCACGGGTGAGGTGATGAGAAATAGGCTGAACAACACCACTGGGAGCAGATGGCAAGAGAGGAGGGAAATCCATGTGGGAATGCATTCACTGCATGGCCCGGCTCCTCTGGACAGTGGAGCCAGGACAGAGCCTGACAGCGGAGACCTGGAGGGGGGGGGTTAGAAAGGAAGGGTCATGTTCTGGAGGTGAGAACAGCCCAAAGCAGCACAGAGAGAGCAGCCGGGGGGCTGCCAACCCCAACCAGCTGTGGTTCCTGTGCCTGGGCACAAGGATGCTCACTGCAAGGATGTGACCCACCATGGACTCACGGTTGCCACGGGCTGGAGGGTGCGATTCCGCGGCGGGCTGGCTGGCCCATGGCTGACGGGGCCACACACCATGAATCCTGCTTCTCCTGCGAGAAAAAGGGGGAGCGAGAAGGAAAAAAGCATCGGATGGAAGCCCCGGCTGCCTGCTGCGGGGAGTGGAACCAGCTGATTTCATGCATCTCCTTCTCGTTAGAGTGGGGTCCCTCCTCACCTGCTCCCGGGCATGGTTCCTGCACCCCGAGCCAGCAGCGAGGAATCCGACTCCAGCTGAAAGGCAAGGAGCTTGTCCATGGATCCCACCCCAGGAGGGGACGTGCTCTGAGCTGGGTCTCCAGCTGTCTGCACCCATCCTGCACCTTCCCACCAGTCCCTGGCCAGGGATGCAGAGCTTGCCCTCTGTGGGGGTCTCACCCCTGCCTGCTCCTTCTGGCACCCAACCGCTGCTCCATCACTGCAGGGTGTCTGGGGGCTGCCAGCACCCTCACGCAGCCCGCGATGGGGCTCAGCACCAATACCTTGTGCTATGTGTGGAAGGTGCTGGAGAAAGACACCTCCTGACACGCCATCTGGGGCTTGGTTGTGGGCTTGGTTGTGGCCCGGGGACTCTTGCCCCTGCATCACCAGTTTGTCCCTGCCCCAAAGGCTGCTCAGCACTAGGCTCCCATCTCTCAGCCCTTCCCTCTTGTCCTGCCAGCCCCCGACCCCCCTCTGCACACCCTGGCACCCCGAGGCACCCCTGGGACCCGGAGGCACCCTGCAGCCTGCTGGGGACCCCGTGCAAGCCCCACACCCCAGCATCCCTGCAATGTGGCCATGGCACACGCTGCCTGCTGCATCGGAGCATCCTCCACATGGGCAGGGCAGGCAGTGGGCTGCAAACCCCATCCCTGTGCCCTCTGTTTAGGGAGCTGATCCCAGGCACAGAGCTCGGCATCCCCCCGGCATTGCCTAAATCCCGATGCAGGGATAGCAGAGGCCGTGCTCTGGCAGCTCTTTGGAGCTCTTTCTTTGGCTGTGACTCGTAACAAGCACCCCAGCATCCATCCGCAGCCCCGCGGGGGTCGGGCAGCACCTCCTCATTCCCGGCTCCGCATCCCAGCTTAAACAAGCAGCCGAGGCCAGCTCCCAGCCCCAGCTCCTCGGGGGCCCCGTGCTGCTGCTGGCTCGAGCACGGGACCCTGCTGAGCTACTGAAGTGCTAAAAACGAGCCTGGAGGCCCTTGCGTGAGCTTTTGTGTCGTGCTTGGCATGGGGAGAGCTCCACTGCGGCGTGGACGTGGGAGCAGCGCCAGGACAAACCCGCTCCACGTGCGGGCGAAAGGTGGGAGCGCGGGGGAGCGTGTCCTGGCCCTCGCCAGGCTCACGGGGGCATGGCCCCGGCTGTGGTTTTCCTCCTGGGAACGGGCACCGGGATGTCTCCGGTGGGTGATGTCAGTGGGAAAAGCCCTCGTCCCCCAGCCCTTCTCTCTGTGTGTGCCTGAGAGCATCATCCCCACTGTGGTCAGCATCCTCCTCCTCCTCCTCGCAGCGGAGATCCCTGCTCACCCCACACCTTCCCAGCACCCACCGAGCACACACACCCCACACCAGCTCCGCATGGAGCACAGCTTCCCCTTGTACACGATGCTGGCTCTCTTGATGCATGGGACCTGCCAGCCCTGCAGCACAGAGGAGCATCGCTCCATGTCCATCGCTCGATGTCCACTGCTCCACATCCATCATTCCATGTCCATTGCTCCATGTCCATCATTCCATGTTCATTGCTCCACATCTGTTGCTCCATGTCCATTGCTCCATGTCCATTGCTCCACGTCCATTGCTCCATGTCCATCGCTCCATGTCCATTGCTCCACATCCGTTGCTCCATGTCCATTGCTTCATGTCCATCTTTCCATGTCCATTGCTCCATGTCCATTGCTCCACATCCGTTGCTCCATGTCCGTTGCTTCATGTCCATCGTTCCATGTCCATTGCTTCATGTCCATCTTTCCATGTCCATTGCTCCATGTCCATTGCTCCACATCCGTTGCTCCATGTCCATTGCTTCATGTCCATCATTCCATGTCCATTGCTCCACATCCGTTGCTCCATGTCCATTGTTCCATGTCCATCACTCCATGTCCATCGCTCCATGTCAGTGCAAAACAGCCCAAGCAGGTGATTTCTCTCCAGTTTGCTGGAGGTTTCATCCTGCCTCAGCTTTGGGACATGAGCTGGGAACAGACCCACACAAGGGCTCAAACCTGCTGGTGATGGGCACCAGTGAAGCCAACAACTCATCCAGGTCTGGTACAAACCTTTTATTCCCCCTCTGCCCACGCTGCCCAGCCTGGGGCTGGGTTTGCCCTTGGGAAGCCCACGGCCCCATGTGGTTGCACCCCAGGGATGGGGAGAGCCGCCGTGGCCCGGACAACACCACAGACTCCATGAGCTTTACACTGAGCCAAGTGACAACGAGAAGTGTACCCCAAAACAGACACGAGACCCCCTTCACCCCCCAGCCCCACTCCCCAAAGCCGGATATGTCACATGCGTATAAGTGACACGGAGCAGCACAACAGTGGTGGGATGGGGACAAGAGTCCCCTGCCCCACTACACCACAGTCCCCCGAGACCGTGGGGAGCAGCCAGCACATGGAAAGAGCCTAAAAACTCAGGGAGGGGGTCACAATAAGTTAATCTGTACAGATGTGTTAGGTGATACGGGGATGTCAGGGACTGCCACCGCCGGGCACAGAGCGCCAGGGGCCAGTGAACCACATGCCGGCGCAGATCAAGCCATGAAATGATGCACAAAGTCAAGTGATGGAGAATGGTGGGGAGATGGGGAGATGCCCTGGCTCACACTTGGCTGGGAGACCCTAGGGATGGGCCCTTGCTTCCAGGGCAGTGAGCCCCGGTTCCTGGAGGCCGGCTGCTGCTAGGTCCTGCCGTCAGCTACAGCTCCGCACCAAGCAGGGATGGGGAGCCCAGGCAGAGGCATCCCAGCAGCTCCCACCTCCTGCCCGAGCAGCACGAGGCAGGGAAACGCCGCCTGGTCCCCTGCTTGGTCCCACCATCAACCCTTGGGCCCTGGGACCAGGCGCCCCAAAGACATCACGGGGCCGGGAGGGGAAGGAGCCATCGCAGGGCCCCTCCGCAGCGCCGGGAAGGGGCCGGCTGGGTCCTCGCGTGGGCACGGGTGCAGCGGGATCCGCTCCCCTCGCCGGCTGCCAACGCCAAATCCATTCGCCACGTTTCGGCTCCCCGAGGCAGTCGGCTCCGGCCGGCGGAAGGGAGTTCCCAGGGCTCAGAGACGGCGCCTTGGAGGCTCAGCCCAAGGTGGGAGGCCGGGGATGTGCGGAGCCAAAGCCCAGAGCGCTGCAGACGCTCTCCATCCCCCACCGCAGCCGGCTCCCTCCTGCCCAGCGCTGGACCCGTGCCCGGAGGGCTGCGGGGCCCGGGGGGCTCCGGTCGGGAGGGGTGGGACCTCCCCACCATGACAGCGGGCTCCCCCGGCCTCCCCGCTCTGGCAGCTCCGCTCTTGGCTCCCGAGTGCTGGAAACCAGGATCCCAGCAAACAGCACATCTCCGGAGCAGGCAAAGCCACCGCCTGGCTCCCAGTGGCCATCCCTGGGGATGAGAGTGGGACCGAGCCAGGCTCTCCCCGTGCCAGAGCCAGAGATGCTCCTCCAGGAGCTGGGACATGGGGCAGCGGAGCAGGACCTGGGATGATGCCATGGGGATGGTGACAGAGGGGACGGGAAGGGGTGGGAGCGCTACAGGATGGTCTTGTCCAGGTCGACTTTGAGGGGCAGCGGCCCCGCGTCCTCGCCACCGTGTTCGGGGCAGAGGGTGACAGCGATGACGGGCGGCAGGGGGAAGGCGCTGGGGCCATCCAGGTCCTCCAGGTACTCCTTGTCCCCATTGATGCTCAGAGGCTGGAAGAGAGGAAGAGGGGATTGTGCAGCCCTGGAGCAGCCCAGGGACACCATGGGGCTGGTTGGAGAAGTACCACACGGCATGGACGTGCCAGTGAGCCCAGCACAATGGCTGGGGACCACACACTCTGTATGGACACATCTCAGCCCCAAAAGGCTCACCCAGCCACGATGGGGAGACCTGGGGTGTTGGGGATCCCCATGGGGTCCCCCCCGGCTGTGCTGAGCACCCCTCACCCCATGTACCTGTGTCTTGACGTGCTGCTCGGGGGCAGTCACCAGACTGGCACAGCTCAACCACAGCATCACCATGATGGAGAGGAAGAGGCAGGCAGCCAGGATCCAGCGAGGAAGGCCCGAGCGCCTGTAGCACCCCACCACCCCCCGCCAAAGAGAAGAGACCGGTTTATGGCAGGGCACGGGGTGGGAATTGGGGCGGGGGGGGCCCTGTTGCAGCACAGCCCCGCACAGCCCCGCTGCACTTACTTGGACATGCAGCCCAGGAAGTCGTGCTCCGGCGGCGGCGGCTCCGGGTGCTGCCCCTTGGCTTTGCCCCTTGGCTCCTTCCCCGGGGGCTTCTCCCCCTTCACCCGGGGGCCTGGAGGGGCAGAGGTGATGCTGAGCTTGACACCCACTGTGGGCACCCTGCCCTGCTCCCCATGGTGTGATGCAGGGGTGCCAGTGCTCCCCTCTCCCCCCAGAAACCCTCTGCCCACGGGGGATCCCAGCAGCAGGGATCCCATGTCCAGGCTCACCCCCCTGCATGGGCATGGGAATGTAACCAGACCTGGGAAGGGGTGATTTGTTCAGCTCTGGGGAAATGGGGTGAGAGACAGAAGGGATTGGAAGCTCCCAACCCCCAAACCAGCATCAAAATCCCCCCCCCCCCCCCCCAAACCTGTGTGGGGCTGGGGGACATGGGGACCAGGTCCCGGTCCTGGCTGCGCTGGCTGGGTCTCCGGCACCGCAAGGACTGGATACTCCATCTCAGGCTGGGACTGGTGGGTCAGCAGGGAAAGAGGGAGAAAGGATGAGCAAGGGGGAACCCACCCCCCTCAGAGCCATCAGAG